CCTGAAACAGTCTTGCTGGAGTTTATAACCGTTCAACCTTGTCATCCCTTGGGGCGCTCTGGTGAACAATCATTCCCCCAGATCCTGGTGGACACCCCTGATAAACTTAAAGGTGGCCATCAGATCACCCTTGAGCCTGCACTTTTCTAAGCTAAAGAGCCCCATAGCTCGCAGCCTGTTGTCATAAGGTCTGTTTTCCTGACCTCTGATCATGCGCGCGGCTCTTTTTTCTGGGCTCTCTCAAGCCTCTCCACATCCTTTCTGAATTGTGGAGCCCAAAACTGGACACAGTACTCCAGCTGCAGCTTCACCAAGGCCAAGTACAATAGGAGTATGACATCCCGGGATTTACTTGAGAAGCATCTGTGGATGTAAGCCAGCGTTTTGCTCGCTTTACTAGCCGCAGCATCACATTGAAGGCTCATATTCATCTTGTGGTCAATCATGACCCCCAAGTCCTTTTCATCCATAGTGCTAGCCAGCGTAGTACTGCTGAACCTTGAGTACCCTGGGGTGTAAACTGTCAAGGTTGGCTGACATGAAGGTGTCCAGCCTCTCAAGGTGTTCCTTCACGAGGGCAGGGAATCTCCCTCACCTGGGCCTCCCTGTCTCGTAATGGGCATGGGTGTCCCATGGGACTGATGAAAGACCGATGCAAAGTACCCATTTAGCAAGTTTGCTTTTTCCTGGGTGTTGGTTGTCAGTTGTCTCATCTGGTTCAGCAGGGGTCCAATGTTGCCTTTGCTTCTCCTCTGGCTCCCCACATACCTGGAAAAGGACTTTTTATTGTCCTTGATACTTGCAGCTACCTGGTGTTCTGTCGCAGCCTTGGCTTTCATGGTTCACTCCCTGCAGGTCCGGACCAATGTGGAATATTCCTCCTTGGAGGTGGATCCCATCCTTCATCCTTTATAGGCCACCCTGGGCGCCAATATTGGCTTGCAGGGACACGTAACTCTCCTTGACATAGAGAGCTACACCCCTGCCCCTTTTGTCTACTCGATTTCTGCTGTACAGGGTATAGCTGTCTATACCCATGGCCCAGTCATGGGTGGAGCCCCACCGGATCTCCGTTATCCCTATGACATTGTAATTATTTGTGTTGAGCAGGTGGACAAGTTCTTCCTGCTTATTCCCCAAGCTCCTGGCATGTGTGTACAGGCAGGCAAGTGTCCCTTTGGGGGCCCTTGCCTTGCCCACAGATAGATCCAGGGGTGGGCTCCCTTAAGTGCCTAGGCCTGCTGGCATTGCAAGGGTTGCTCAGTGGGCCATCAGTGGCAGTGGTCCCCCCTCCTCCAATCCCCCGGCGGACTTAGTTTAACGCCTGATAGAGCAGGTCAGCATTGCCTCTCTTACCAAAGAGTGGACTGTGGTCATGGAAGCCAGAGCCTTCCCGATGACACCAGTGCCACAGTCTTTGGTTCACTACCTGGATCCTCCTTTCCCTCCTCAGCCCGTAGCCCGAGACTGGGAGGATCGAAGAAAACACCACCTGTGTCCCCAGACCCTTTAGCCCCACCCCCAAATCCCTGTAGCGCCTCGTGACCTGGCTGGGAGGGCTCCCATTGGTGCCCACGTGGATAAGGAGCATAGGATAGTGGTCAGCGGGCTGGAGGAGTTTAGGGATCTTCTCCGCAATGTCTCGGATGCGGGCTCCAGGGAAGCAACAGACTTCCTGGGCTAAGGGGTCAGGGTGGCAGATTGCCCCCTCAGGCTGTAGCCTCCCACGACAAACACTTTGCGTTTTGTCTTGGGGGGAGCAGGGGCAGTAGCTACAGTAGAGCCTGTGTTGCCTGCGGGAGTTGGCAACTCAGCAGGCTCAGCTGGGGCTGCAAGAGTTTCATACCTGTTGCAAAGCTCCAGCGGTGGGGAGACCTTGGTGTGGTGGGCCTTTGGGCCCTTGACGACCTTGGTCCATCCCCTTGGCTGGACAGAATGGGAGGTCCCCGAGTCCTCCCTTGTCCTGGAGGGAGACCATGGTACCCTCCACCTCCTGGGGGGAAAAGAGCCTGGCAGTAGGAGTCAATCTCCTGCTCACAGTCCCTGATGGCACGCGGTCTCTAGACTGCGGCCTGGATCTCTTTCAGCTGGTGCGCCAGAGATCCCAAAAGGGAGCAGACCCCATAAGGGAAGCTGGCCATGCTCCCGGGCCCCAGAGCCTGAAAAAGTGACAGGCAGCCCCGCAGCCGAGAGCTTGGGCTCTGTCTGTGTGGAACCCGGAACCATGGGCTCCATCTGGGTGAAGGCCTCTGAGACACCAGAGAGGGGGGCCACAGACCCTGAGCAGACCCTCGGGGTGTGGCGTGTGCCCATCCATGGCATGCCGCTGGTGAGCTGGCTACGGCTGGGAGTGGCTTCCCTAGGGTGGGGGTACACAGGCAGGGAAGGGCTCTATGATGGGGCTATAGAGAACTTTGGGGTGGCAGTAGCCCTTCCCCCAGTGCCTTCTTTAATCTTTACTAATCTATAGAGGAGTCTCTCAGGACCCTATAAGACTGGGCTCCTAATATAGTCCATGACCTGTTGTAACCTATTTATAATGTTTTTTCTCAAAAGGTTACATGAATATATTATCTCGAATAGTATATAATTAGAAGTTATAATCTTTATTCCATGATGATATCATTGAGCTTTAATATATCTTTAAATTAAATTAAAGCTATCTTTATATAGGTTTATTTTTTAAAAAGAGCATCTTAAAATTAAAAAATACGATTGAATAAATAAAATCTGGTTTAAATACAAAAATCTGTGGGTTTTTTTGTTGTTGTTTTTTTCTTTTAAAATTATTTTTCTTTTGTTAAATCACTGTGGGTGTTTGGTTTTTTTTTTTGTTTTGTTTTTGTTTGTTTTTTTGTTTGTTTTTGTTTTTGTTTTTTTTTCATCCACCGCATTGCATCTTTTGATCTACCTAGGGTTCTCTTCAGTATTCTAGAGTCAGGTCAAACCTTAAGTAAGAGAATACATTAGAGGTGCACCGATACATTGGACCATATCATATCTGCACCAATAAAAGGAAAATTGACATTACTGGCAATCAGCTTTTTTTTGGCTGATGTGGCTGATAATGTTACAAATAAATGCACGCACCCAGGAGTACAGCCTGGCAGCATGGAGAGCAGCGTGTGACCGGTGAGTCGTGAGCAGAGCAGCTGAGAGCAGCGTGAGAAGGGGAGTGGGGGGGAGCGGAGATTGAGGGCAAATGAGGGCCAGGCAGGGGCTGAGCTTGAGGTGGGCAGGGTGGGAGGCAGTGGCACTGGGGGAAGGACTGCAGCCACCCCAAAATTCACTATAGCCCCCTCATAGAGCCCTTCCCAGTGCCAGTGCCACCCACCCCAAGCACAACCCTGGCCTGACCTCCCCACCAGGAAGAGGCTGGCATAGCCCTGGCCCCAAGCACAGTGGTAGCCCAC